TTTCTTTTAGTGCATTATTATTATTTTTATTTTTTAAAACAATTATTATTATTATTATGCAATATATGCATACCCTTAGGTCATTTTAAATGTTAATCTAAACAGTTAATTTTTCAAATATATTTTTACCAACCATAATTCGCTGGTCAAATCCGCTTACGTTAACCGCCAACCATTGATATAATTCGCTAGTCAAATCCGCTTACGTTAACCGCCAACCATTGATATAATTCGCTAGTCAAATCCGCTTACGTTAACCGCTAACTGTTGATTGTCAAACAGAGACATTTTTTTGGGTAAAGATAGTTTCTCACTTCAATTTGTTACTGGCTCTATTACATTGTAGTATCTGTTCATATACTTTCTCAACCTATTAAAACACAAAGAACCAATAACACCTCCACTGAGGCTTGAACTCGTAATCTTCCAAATGGAAGTCCAACCCGGGTACCATTAGACCACATAGTCCTGGTATTTGTTGTATGATTTGAATACTCTTTTTGTCAACAAATCCCTCAAGTAGTTAATATGATTGGCTTTATTAATTATATATATTTTTAATTTTTTCATGATATTAATAAAATACTTGGTAAATAAATATATAGCATTATTTTGTATTATAACTTTGATATTTAATTAAAAAAATAATGCACAGAAAAGATAATAGATAATGCAGTGAATATAATCAATTGATGAATTTGAATGCAAATAATTTTTACATTGGAGAAAAATAAAGACAATATAGCTAATGAAATTATTTTCTCTTAATTAATTTATTGATCGATAATGAATAATTTTTTTTGAATAAAGACATTGTAGGGACAATGTAGCGAATATAATTAATTGATGAATTTGAATGTAAAGAATTTTTATATTGGAGAAAAATAAAGACAATATAACTAATAAAATTATTTCTCTTATTTGATTTATTGATAATGAATAATTTTTTTTGAATAAAGACATTGTAGACACATAATTCTAAATTAAAGAACTGCATATGAATTATATTTTTGTTGTACCTACTAAATTATTATTTAATTTAATAAGAGTAAAATAGAGTACTAATTATGTCAACTTTGATTGGGATGGGGTTCGAACCTAAATCCTTTTTTTATTGAAATTAATGAGTAAGTTAACGGTGAACTAACAGAAATTAACGGAAAAGATAATATTTAACGGAAAAGTTAACAGATAATCATATAATTAAGGATAAATTATGAAATCTCAAGGAAAAATTAAAATCTGATTAATCTGAGTCATTCATTTGATTAAAAAATTTGACCGTCATTTTTTTTTAATCCATTATAGGACTAACTCTATTTAGCTCTTATTAGTATATATATATAGTAAACATTAAATATTGTCGTAAATAATATAATGTGACTTTTAAATTGATGATTAATTTTATGATAAATTGATCAAATAAAATCTAACCTAGCTTTTGATCGAAATATGCATAATTGATATAAAAGATTTGTACCGAGGAGCATTACTTACGAAAAATAATGCAACTTTGAGTACAACTCAACTATTCAATCAACTAAAAAAAGTTCATAAAAGTTTTGTTTTGCTAGTCTTGTTGTGACAAATTTTATTGTGGATCATACATCAAAACATGTTGACACAAATAATGAACTTTATGCATATAAATAGTATACTTAGATTTACTGAATATCATATTTAATTTCTAAGGAGGTGGGAATATCATATTTAATTTCTAAGGAGGTGGGGTATGCCGAATAAGTTTAGTAATGCTCTACAAATAATAAAATATAATGTACAGTATAAATGAGTTTAGAATATACATGCCTAAATAATCAACCTTCAATTCAATCAGTTTGTGTATGCTCAAATAATGAACCTTAGCACACAAATAATTAATGAATCTCATGCATATAAATAATGAACCCTTAATTAAGTTGTTTTCATACTATTTTGTACACATTCAAATCATAAACATCACACATAACAACAATGTATTATATGCGTAAAAATAATGTACCATATGCATAGAAATAATTAATGAATCTTATGCATATAAATAATGAAACTTAAGTTGTTTTCATACTATTTTGTACACATTCAAATAATAAACATCACGCATAACAACAATGTATTATATGCGTAAAAATAATGTACCATATGTATAGAAATAATAATGTAACATAATAAGTCAAATTCGTACACATTGTTAACCTCCTTCTTCCATTTGTTCATGAAATCTCTTAGGCTCTCTCCTCTTTCCTGCTTTATTACGCAGAGATGAGATAAAGGACTTTTGCATTGTATACTACCGGAAAAGTAAGTTGGCAGGGTTCTCGAAGCCTTACAAATTTAATACTAGCTCACTCCACTAATTTGTAGTAGTGGCAAGACCAGGTCAAATCCCAAGAGAACTAATGAATTTCGTTTTGTAAATTAAAAGGACTCAAAGTGGGAAAAATAGTTTGGAAAGAATTAATAAAATAAACAATACTTTTAAACAAGTTCAAGGATATTGAATTCTGATTCAAGGTAAAAAGAATGTTAAAGATGTGACTTAGATCATTGGCTCTTACAAATAAAGTTTAAATTCAAGTACTTAACCAAAAACTAATTAGGATAGTCATAACTAGCATTTAATCTCTCTGAATTAATTGATTCAAATTAAGCATTCAAACCAACAATTGTTATTGAGTAAACTGGGGGGATAGCGTTCCATATTCACCCAATAACATCATTACACTTAATGGAAAATAACTAAGCCTAAATCACATACTGAGAGAGCTACAACCTGCAACTTAGTCTTCTTGTCCTTTACAAGCTACCGGGTCTAATTGTGTATGACAATTACGGATCATAAATTCATAGATGGTACTAGGAAAATCAATAACAAACTAAGTTGTCAATTTAATTCATTATCAACATTCCTTGGAAATTTTAACTTCAAAAGAACAGGAAATACAAGAATCTAACAATTCAATTAAAATAAAATCTCCCTAAATTCACAACTAGAACTTCAATCCCTTGAATCAAAATTAAGAAAATTAGCTAGACATAGAGAAAACTATTCTAAAATACTAAGAATATGAAAGGAACAATCTACCAAAAATACATCAGAATAGCTCTCCTTTTATAGGGTTCCAAATTAACAAATTTCCCTAAAATCACTGCTCTTACCGCATCTTTCTCTACTAGCTTCATCTTCAAATTCAAAAGCTTGTTAAAATTCCTCACGAATTTCGCGCTAAAACCAGTCCAAGTCGCCGTTCGAAGCCTTCCTTGCGCATTCTCCGTAGCTGCCTACTGAAACTACTCTGGCATTTGGATTCGCTGCTTGGTATTCGTAAACAAAACAAAAGAAAGAAAAATAAATTAAATTAAAGCACCTTTTGGATAGCTCTGCAAAATTTTGGATTAATCCATCAGGGATTGTATTGAACTAATCCTTGGTCGTCCCATCCAAGATAGACAAGAATGCCCTGCACATGATGGCATCGTTTGCCCCAATCATCACCATAGCTGCCTTGTAATGTGTGCACGTGGGTCCAAGATCCCAGCGTAAGCTTTGATAGCCGGAAGCCTGAAATCCTTTGGAAGGGGTGCATCCATTATCCTCGGGGTAAATGGTGCAGCCATCCTTACCTCGGGTTCAGGCGACTGCTCCCTCTCGCCCAATCGTTCCAAGACTGGCATATAAGCTGTCAGACGATGTCGGACAAAGCTGCCTACTTGAACTCCTTCTCCTCGGTCTTTCACCTCTCTTCCCCTGGAGCGAGATTGAGTTTCAAGGCAACCGCCGGTATGATCGGTTGTACCGCAACGTTGGGTACTCTCTCGTCGTGGCGATATCACTTCATCTTTCTGAGCGGATGCTTGGGGCACTTGACCTTGAATCCCTGCCACCATTTGGGTTAGAGCCGTCGCTGCTTGCTGAATGATTTGGGTCGTCGCTTGATGATCCATAGGTGGTACCTGTGCATTGGGCTCTTGCTGCCCTCCACCACGATTGTTGTTGAGTTGGTCCCGGAGGTCATCCTCGCGGTTGCAGTTGAGCTGGCGCTGGAGGTCGCTAGAGTTTGTTTGTCGGGCATCCATATGAGTACTGCCATTGCCATTGATGTTCAGGCCACAGGAACCATGGGAGCCACTTGATCTACATCGTGCCATTGCTTCAAGCTTGTTGATGAGAGAGAAAGATGTATGTTGTTGCCTTGAGTTGATTCTCAAGCTCTCAATGAAAGCACCAATGACGGTAAATATGTTACCGAAATAATTGTATTAAGTGATTTTGTATTTCTTAAGAATCTAGTATAAAGTTTCAGCGTGTCCCTTCTCATGTGTCATTGGCTCATCCTTTATACTATAAACTTGTAATGGTTACAATAATTGCACAACGGCCTCATACTAAGTGCAACGGCGGGCTCCTTAGTTAATTGATGCGCCCTCCTCCATAAGTGCATTGGCTATCCATAACTCCTCTCTTTGATGAGGCGGCGCTCTTGACCGTTACTTTTGACTGTCATCACTGCTTTGATGGGTTAGACCAAGTGTACCGAGTCGGACCCAATACCTTGTCCAATTATCTTGTCAACATCTATCCCTGACTGTATTCAACATTTGTTCTTGATCTCTTAAATTTTAATACATTTCTTTCTTTAAAAAAAATAAAAAATAAAAAAATAAAAAAAAAAACTTATTGAGATATATTTTGTAATTTACCTTCTCCATGATAAAAGCAAGTTAAGAGTCGTGAAAAATAATGTAAGGAAAGATTTCCTCTTTCTATCAAACAGAAGCGATAAAATTAAGTGGAATTATAGATTTTCCATACTCACAAGGACTATTTTCCATACTCACAAGGACTATTTTGCAGATAAGAACGTAAAACAGAAACGAAGTGCATTGGGAGTTAAGTCAAGTCGATTTTAACCGTAACCCCTTCAACTTTCTTTTAATTTAAGAAACACCCCCAAACTCGCCATACCCGCGCGCCTATAAATAGGGGTAATGAGAGACCTAAACAAGAACAACACGCCATACCAAACACACGCAAGAAAATTTAAAAAAATAAAACAAAGATCGATCGAGAATGAGAATTCGAATTCCTCAGAGCTCTTTTCTTCTTCTTCTTCTTCTTCTCCTGGTTTGCTTCTTCAACAATGGCGTCCAAGCCCAGAATCTAATCAACAAGACATGCAAGATTGCGGCGAAAGGCGACACGAACATAAAGTACGACTTCTGCGTCACTTCCCTGCAAGCTGCTCCGGCCAGCCAATGCGCCGCGCTCCGCGGCCTAGGAATGATCAACATCAGACTCATCCGCTACAACGTTACTGATACGAGGTGCCGCATAAAACAGCTGCTGAGGGAAAAGAAAGCGGCGCAGGATCCGTACGTGAAGGGGTGCTTGGGTGATTGCCTGGAGTTGTACTCCGACGCCATTCCCAACATCAAACAGGTTATGAGGGATTACAATGCCAAGAAGTTCTTCGAGGCCAACATCAAGGTTTCGGCCATCATGGACGCCGCCACCACGTGCGAGGACGCGTTCAAGGAGAAGAAGGGCGTGGGTTCGCCGTTAACCAAGAGGAACGACGACGTTGTTAGCTTGTCTGCCATGCTTCTTTCTCTTATGGATATGATTCAAGCAGGATCCGCAGTTTAATTTAATCAGAGTATATATATATATATATATATATATATATAGTATATGTTCACCTTTTTTCTTGTTCACTGTAGTAGTATTAATGTTTACCTATATATATTATGCAAAAATGTTACAGGGGAGTTTGTTAACCAACTTAGATCAATTAAGTTTTATTACACCTTTCAAATCCAAGTAAGCCATATAGTGAGATGTTTTGTGCTTTTTATTGACATGGAATGGAAATATATGTTTTTATTTACTCTTTATACAATCCTATAACTACAACAATACAATTCTGAATCAAATACAATTTTTTCTTAGTGCACATCTTCCGATAGTGACAGGAGCGGGAGTTACCCAAACGCAAATAATACCAAACTATTTAAGGGTAAAATATCATAATTTTAAATTTGTTATCATTTTTGTGAAAAAGTACAAGAAAGAAAAAAAATAAAAATAAAAATATAATCAATCTTAACTTCAAATCTATCCATCCTTCCAGAGCTGATTAGTCAAAAATGGTAAGAAAATGTTTCTGGCAAGGCAAGTTAAATGAGTAATTAGAAGTAAAAGAAACTTTTTTTGCAGGTTTGATGATGAAAATTGAAATTTGGAAAAGTAGTAGTTAAGTGTTTGGTCTTTATATTTCTCCATTCTCAAGCCTCATGACATGTCTTCTTTAGTTAAGTGTTTGGTCTTTATATTTCTCCATTCTCAAGCCTCATGACATGTCTTCTTTAGTTAAGTGTTTGGTCTTTATATTTCTCCATTATCAAGCCTCATGACATGTCTTCTTTAGTTAAGTGGTTGGTCTTATATTTCTCCATTCTCAAGCCTCATGACATGTCTTCCTTTTTTTTTTTTTTTTGGTATACCCAGGATTTCCTTCAAACAAAGTGACTAATCCCCTCGCTGAATTATAGGCACATTTTTTGAGTGAAACAGCTAATCTGAAGATTTAAGGTTGTTCCATTCTCAATCGAACTCTTGACGGTTAAGGATGGATGAGTCACTTACACTCAATCACACCCTCCAGGTTATGACATGTCTTCTTTGATTTGTCACATCAAAAGCTTGACATTGTTCCATTACAAACATGGGCTTATTTCATATTCCATCTGGACATCCAATACTTTATATACAATTACTGAATATCATAACCCCACCCAGATCCATGTTTATCTTAGGCAGTGTGAAACTTGGGACTTACCACTGTAAATTTTCACTGTATTTGCACATTTTTTAAATATGCTTTTCTGACATCAAAAGAAGAATACTATGCACTTTGATATGAAGTGGCAATCACTTTTCTCTCAAAAGAAAAGCAATACCACATTGAAAAGAAAACACAACTCTGGAGGGGGGTTGAGAGTTCTAGTTGCAGGAAAATTATCACAAAAATCATCAAAGGGAAGGCTCATGTTTTGTTCACAGACACAAATTATCAGACAAGCAGAAGGTGTAAAATGAAATTCATGGTTTGATCCCGTTCGAGATCGGGGGCCATATTGTGAGACCATTGACTAAAGTAAATATGAAGAAAGGAAAGATTGCAATTGCATGAAAATTAACCCACATCTGCAGAATAAAAGCAAACTACCAATGAAAAAAGTAAGGAGTCCAAAGCTTCCAGAATGACTATCTGTCCACCATAATGATTATTGGATATTTCCTTATGGATCAGGTTTCCATGATCTTCCACAAATCAGAACATCACAAGTCACAACCATTCCCAAACAAAACTCAAAATCAAGGCTCTGCTTAAAACCTTAACCTGCCATCGGATGGTTATAAATATACTCAATTGCAAGTGTGCATGAGTCGATCCTAACAGCCTCCTTGTCTGGAATTTCAAGTTTGAACTCTTCCTCGAGAGCCATTACAATCTCAACATTGTCTAAGCTGTCTAAGCCCAGATCCTTCTGGAAATGGACATCAGGAGTGACCTGTTGACAGTTGCACAACGTAATATGGTAAACAAACCCATATGAGAGGGAAAGAATATATTCACCAGATATGAGGGAATCAAAAAACTTTCTAAAATCTGAGTACAGACATGGCACATGCATATGGAATGCGCAAGATATATGATACTGTCATGTAGCTGTACCATCTAAAACGTATGCCTCGGATTTAGCATATAGTGAATTATCGAAGATATTGGTTTTACAGAATATTTCAACTTGAATCTCTCTGAAAAACTAAAACTAATCGAGAGCCCCACTCAGTAAATGCATGTATAAAATGAATACACATGAACACAGTAGTGAAAGAGACAAAACCATTTGAATAGCTGAGGAACCAGTGTACCTCACACAATACCATCTGAATATTAGAGGCACCACACATAAAAAGACTCCTTTAAAGCATTCTCCAAATTTAACAAATCCACGCATTGCAGCTAAATCCACCAATATTATGTCTAAATATACTTGCAGAAGCTCCTTGTGATAAATTATAATCAAGAGCTTTAATGTAAAAGATTCTAAAACGCCTTCATTTTTTTTAATCTATTAGCCATTAAACATAGATTTTCATCTGCATATGAGTGTCACAATTCAGAACTGTCATCTTAACAGCCCTCACTTCCTATGAAGATCCCTCCACCCACCCCCAGATAAAAGGAAAAAAAAAAAAAAAAAAACTACCAATTGCATTCTAATATGTTGTGATTCCCCTTAAACTAAAGGTCCTTTCCTTTATTACTGGAATTGAAAAGCTCATAACTCCAAATTAAGCAAATAAAATAAGACTGGCCATTACAAACTACTTAAATATTGAGCTACACATTTCCAAAATATGATTAAACGCTAAACATAAAGAAAAGCCTGCAAATCAATAGAACTTATTCCCAGCCTGCAATAGCTCTCCAAGCAAAACCCTAATTCTTCAGCTACATTAGCCTCTACAGTTCATATATATATCGATAGTTGCCAATCAATCTCATCAATACACACACAAATACGCACCGGAATACATGAATTATCAGAATTTCATTAATTATCAGAATTCATAATTAAATTCATGTGAGTGTATTTTTTTCTGGTCCTATTTGATTTTAAAAAATAGTTACTCCGTAATAAATAATGCAAAAATTAAATCGTTTCCAGCCAGCATAAATTAGGTTAATAGATTTGGATACCTTGGAGGGATCGACTTTGGGGAAGGTCTTGACAACGTCGAGGACTCTGCCGGCGACTTCCTCCTTGCTGAGGTGGTCGTCGTGCGACGACATCCATCGAGCGGAGCTCAGTCGCGATCCGTTGGCTGATATGGCTTGAGTCGCCGGGACTCGCACGTGACGGAGTATAGCTGATCTCAACGCCGACGCCATTCCTATTGTCTCAGGTGGGCTATGTGTCTCCTTTGTCAGTTAGTTGGGGGGATGCGACTGAACTGCCGAGTGAGTTAGACTTTAGCTCCAGGACAATTTCGGTATTTAGACCGCCGGTTTCGGATTGTTCGTTCCTACGGTTGATAAAAATTTCCTTTTATGTAACAGTATTATGAATAACATTGTGTTACAAATTATATTTTTTTTCATTATAATATATTTAATTGGAAAATAACGTTAATATCATTGTGGAAATAATAATTGCTGGCTGAAAATAACGTTTATATCATTGTGAAAATTATATCTAAAATGGACAAATTTTTTGATTGCACCAACATTTGATCATATATACTAGGGCCCTTAGGATTGGGGATCAACCTTTTAGGGAAAAATGAAGTCAAGTTTTTTTTTTTCAAAAATAAAAAATAAAAAATGAAGTCAAAGTTCTTTGTAATATAATGCTCCATATTTATTTTTGAAATAATGCTTAAATAGACCATCAAACTACACACAAAATACAATTCGGACACCAATTCAAAAAATTACAATGAGCTTTTAAACAATTTAAAATTATGCATTTAAACAAAAATTAACTTGTCCTACCGATCTTAGCTGATCTGGCAATTACTTTTATTTAAAAATTATTATTATTATTATTATTATTATTATTATTGATACGGTTAATTCCTCGCGGTACAGGGGACTGCCACACTAAGTAGACAGTATTGGAACTCGGGGTCCTTCGATAGTGGGTCGGGAGGCTCCAGTCCAATTCAATGCCAAAAGTCCCTTTCAAGTAGCAATAAATGCGCTATTTATAGGAGAATGAGGGGACATGCTCTGGGCCTCCTGCATGGACGGCACGTGGCATGCATGCACCGGTCATTGTCGAGGCCGCGACACGCGGCGATACCTCTCTGGAGCCACCAGGGGCGTGGGCTCGAGGGCACGCAGGTCGGGGTTGGGCTCGAGAGGTCGGGCAGCTCGAGCCGACCGGCTAACCCTAGGGGCTAGACCCGCAGATCAAGCAACCCAGGGAAAGACTGTCGGGAGGGCGCCCAGACGGTCGGTTCGGCCGGTCGAGACCACAAGGACTTAGAGCTTGGGTACTAACCAGCCCCGGTCGTACTACTACCTTTACGGGGTATATCCCTATCAATTATTATTATTATTATTATTATATTTTGAAAGTGAATTGAAATTATAAAAATATATAGAAAATAGTAGTAAATTTACAAATATTTTGATATGACAGTAGAGTTAATTTTTAAAAATTGAGAAAGAATTACATGAATGTGGATAATCTTGTACCTCAGTATAATAGAAATGATATTATTATGCCAACAAGCCTCTTGAACCTACCAACTCCCGTAGTAGTAGTAGTATTCATGCCCAACCTAGCTATAAGATTGCGGTAAAGGATTTGCAATCATTTTACTGTGGACCATGATCCAGCTTACAAGATAGACTATTAACATAAAATTTTAATATTGAAAATTTATTTTTAATACATTTAGGGTGTGTTTGATTGGTGGGTTTTGCACATAGAAATGGGTATGAAAGTGATTGTTGTTGTTTGGTTGATAGGTTTTTAGAACACTACTATGGGTTTCGAATACCCCATCAATTGAAAAACCCATACCCAAATAAAATAAGGGTTTCATTCTCTTATTCATTCTCAAGCACTACTATTAGTAACCATTCCCATTCCAGCCTATTACCAAACATGTTAAATACTTTCACCAAAACCCATTACCATTACCAAGTATTTAATACCCATTCCGATTCCGACTCCTATGTGTGAACCAAACACACCTTTAATGTTCATTTTTTGAATTTTTTTTTTTTTTGTGTATTTTATTTATTTATTTCTTTGAAGTGAATTCAAATCTAGTGATATATCTCATGTTTAAAAATGGAAACATGGTACATCAAACATTGAAAACTTATGAGGTTAGGGAAAACAACAGACAAATTCACAACCACAAAACAAAAAGCCATTGACTTTAAAGGTTCATGCATGTTTAGGTATACTATCAAAAAATAAAAATATTTTTAAAGCATATTAAAAATCAACAACCAATATATTATCAATGGTAATATAATTTGTCACGAACTTGCACTAAGGTATGACTTTGATACGCATCAAAGAAAAGAAATAATTGGCGGTAATTGGTGATTTAATTAGTGGAAGGTCTAAAAGGAATGAATCATATGTAATTAGAGGATAATTATTAAATATTAGTATAAGGAAATTATGTATATTAGAATATATCATTACCTTGTATAGTTAGAATAATTTTAGTAACTTCTACAACTTTAATAAAAGCGAATATTGTTAGACCCTTAACCGGAACAAAAAAAATGTCGGTACGCCACATGCTCAACAAAATTGTACTTTGCGCTTTCGTAATTGTACAATGCCAACTTAAATTCCTAATATAACCTCATTCTTCTAAATTATACCAAACTTTCACTGTTAAACTTAACAATTCTGTCAAAAGAAATTTAGCGAATTAGAATGCAAATCTTAATAGATTCCTAATTTCGAATTAGAATATTGATCTCTTAATTAATATGATTTCCTTGTTTAATAATAATTTTCTTACCTAATATTCTATATTTTACATAATTATTTCGTAATAAAATTAATCAATACACAAATAGAAATTTATTTCTATATTACGATACTTTCTTATTTACTAATTATGTCATCTTCACTATATCAAATATATTTACTTGTCATGTCATTATTACCATCTATATACAATTGTAATTTATAATTAGAATATAGAATACAAATCTTAATAGATTCCTAATTTCAAATTAGAATATTGATGACTTAATTAATAGGATTCTATAATACAAATCTTTATAGATTCCTAACTACACCCTTAATCTACCTAGAACAACACTATATTAACTCTTGGTATTCAACAAACACAAAACCTAACTTCTGTTGCAACACACAGTATTCAAGAGACATTCTACAGGTATGAATATAAATCTCCTATCATTACTGCATAATTAATTAATATAATACTTCTTGTTACTCCTTATATTATTTCAATCCCATGATTTTTCAATTTATGTTATGGTTCCCATTATATTATTTCTTTACATTCTTTATGCGCATATTTTCAATGATGAAAGAATATTAGTCATGGCAAATGCACTAAACTTAATTGATATTGACAATACAAATCTTTATAGATTCCTAACTACACCCTTAATCTACCTAGAACAACACTATAATAACCCTTGGTATTCAACAAACACAAAACATAACTTCTTTTGCAACACACGGTATTCAAGAGACATTCTACAGGTATGAATATAAATATCCTATCATTATTACATAATTAATTAATATAATACTTCTTGTTACTCCTTATATTATTTCAATCCCATGATTTTTCAAGTTATGTTATGGTTCCCATTATATTATTTCTTTACATTCTTTATGCACATATTTTCAATGACGGAAGAATATTAGTCATGGCAAATGCACTAAACTTAATTGATATTGACATACAAACTGTGAGATAAAATTGTAAAGTTTGTGTCATTAAGAAAAACGAACCAAGGAATGCTATTAAATCGCCTGAGAAAAAGTATATGCTCATCATCCTCGAGGATGAAACTGTAAGTACATAATACAAAATTTCCTCATTCCATTATTATTATTATTATTATTATTATTATTATTATTATTATTATTATTATTATTATTATTAAAAGGTTATATTGTGTATTGTTATGAGTACATACTATTATGGACATGAATTTAGTGATGGATTTTTATATGCAACGTGATTATAATTATTTTTAAATAATAATAATAATAATAATAATAATAATTATTATTATTATTATTATTATTATTATTATTATTATTAGTCATTTATTAATTTATATTTATTAGATATGTATAGTTCTTTATTTACACTCAAATCAAGGTGCTTTCATTCACCACCAACATCATTGTAAATGTTATATCTATATACAGGGAACTCCGATTCAATCAATATTGTTTGATAATGACATTGAAATTTATGATAGCACTTTAAAGACCAACAAGAGGTACATAATTTCAAATGTCATTGTCAAACCTGTCCAGACGAACTATAGAGTACTTGACAATAAATAAAGTATACATGAATTTTAAATGCTCGGAGTATTTCAAATTTCTTTATCTTTTATTACAATATATAATCACCAAGACTATTTCTATATCTTTTATTAATTTCGCATTTTTCTCTCTCTCATCATTATATTATGTGAATACTTTAACCAATTAAGAAACACTAATTTATAAATACACATTGGGCATTGGTCTAATCGCGCAAAGCGCGTGTCATAACTAGTAATTATTATAGGTGTTAGTAATTTAGTAGAGAAAATTTCAATTTTGGTCACACGACTATAGGGGCTTTGTTAATTTCAGCACCTAACTTTTAAAAGTGTCAAGTTAGTACCTTGAGTATGTAATTTTTGTCAATTTTAGTCACTCCGGCCAAATTTCCGGTCAAATTTGGCCGAAAAATTTAGTCCAACATTTAGTCTAAACTCTGAGGGGCAAAATGGTCTTTTATCTCCTTTCTCTACATGAAATTCACGGAAAACTACGTAGAGGAGAGTGGGAGAAGACTGAAGAAAAGGATAGAAACCATCGTTTCATGGCTCGACGGTTTCGGTATTCGGTGTTTGGAGGGAAATGCGGGATTGTTTTGCTGGGTGGACATGAGGCATTTGCTGAGCTTCAACACCTTTGAAGCAGAAATGGAGATTTGGATGAAAATACTGTGTGATGCTGGGCCGAATGTCTCCCTCGGAGCCTCTTTTCATTGCAGCGAACCCGGTTGGTTCCGCGTCTATTTCGCCAACATGTCGGAAGAAGCCTTGGTTGCGGCGATGCGGCGGATTAATGCGTTTGTGAGTTCCGTGGTCGGCGTCGGAGAAGATTGCCGGAATATTCATCCTGGGAATGAAGAGGTCACTTGTATGCAGTATTGACTGAATTATCTAAACTATAATAAAGCTATATGATTTGGGAAGTAATTAATGTTACTTCCCAAACCATATAGTTTAGATTGATATTACAATTAATTACCAACATTATTATTATTATTACTAGCTATAAATATAAAATAACCACAACATTCTTTACTAAAAAAAAAAAAAAAAAAAAAAAACACAAACATTTGAAAAATAAAATAGCTATGTTTTTCTCGCCCATAACAAAGGATTACATTTATTGAATTAATGGAGTTATTAAATATTATGATATTAGGATTAAGGATTCTGATTCCCGATTAATAGAAAATATGAAACGATGCAATATCAATTAAATCTCTGGCTTTACAATGAAAGTTTATTTGATATGTTTTTGTTATTTATGGTGCTTCTTGGGATTACAATATTAATTAAATTTTCGATGAAAGCCTATTCGATATCTGAAACAGTGCAATTAATGCAAGCCTCTACATATAATTTTTCTCTCTCTCAAATGCTTCAGAAGCGAGAAGGGATGAATAAAGCAAATGCTGCGGGCCGTGGGTCAATTATTGGACTTCAGAATAAAAAAAAATCATTTGAGCCATAAATAAAATTTTAAATGTATATATATCGTATGGGTCTTTAATGTTTTTCAGCATTTCTAAACTTCGGACTTTTAAAGAAAAAAAAATACATTTGAATTATCTCCACAAAAAGTGGTCTTGGACTTATAGAATGACATTTGGGTTTATGGAATGACATGTGCATAAAGAATATATTATATAATCATATAAAAAAATGTGTTCAATTAGAGTTTAAATTTACTCATACAAAATTTGAAATTTGCTTTCTAAATGTAATTATCTTAGTTATTATTCGTATTGTGAAAATTATAATATAGATGAAATACAATTAAGAACAAATCAATGTAATTATGTAAATTCTCTCTATAAGTTTATTTGAATATGTACATAATTAGAGATTATATTAACCATAAAAAATTTTAATTTTAATTTTAATTGTAATTTTATATTCTATAAAATAATAAATACTTGACCAATGGAAGCTCAAAAATATTATTATATTAAACAATTTAAAATATTTTTATTTTTTCTATTTTTTTATTTATATTTATAATAACATAATTTTTTCTCATGCATCGCGAGGGTGATAATTATTAAATAACAAAAATTTATATATAAATAAACCTCATATAGGATATATTTTTATAACATATTTTCTGTGCATCGCATAGGACAAATACTAGTCATAATTAATAATCAAATGGCCTGGTTAAGTTTATTCCACCAATGTAAATATATTTATTATGAAAAATTCTATTATATGGTTTTAATTCAAAACATGTAACCATTCATCTGTGAATTGGTAAAGTGCTTTGGGAGTGATCTTGATGGCAATATGCCAATATCCCCGGTTTCTTGTACCAAACACCGAAACTAAAGGATAGGAAAGACCATTTTGCCCCTTAGAGTTTAGACTACATGTTGGACTAAATTTTTTCGGTCAAATTTGACCGACAATTTGGCCGGAGTGACCAAAATTAACAGAAATTACATACTCAAGGTACTAAATTGACACTTTTAAAAGTTAGGTGCTAAAATTAACAAAGCCCCTATATTCGTGTGACCAAAATTGAAATTTTCTCTAATTTAGTATAAATAGGTCCTTTGTATATGAATATACCAGGAGCCACCCAGAGAATTGTTATTCTAATCTTTAGTTATTCTTCTTGGAGCCCTCACACGCTCGAAGTGTGAAATTGGAGTTTGTCGTGACTCGAATACGGTTATGAGCTAGAAGCCTTTTAAATCTCAGTACGTAACATTGGTGCTTTCATTGAGGATTTGTGGATGAATCACGTAACAATTGGTGCTTTCATTGATTTCATTGGTGAGAGTATCCCCTATCTTTTTATTTTTATTATTATTGTAATTTTATTTTTTGTTGGCTGCATTTCTTTAGAAAATCAAAAAATGGAAAACATTATTCATCGGTGCTTATTGGTTTCTGTACGCCAAGTATGGTATCACATCGATGATTTTTGTATTGTATGAGATCTTTTCAACGAAAGCACCCGTGCAATATATTCATATTTTAAAGGATGATGCTCACACCTTCCAAGCTTTGGTATGGTTTGATTCTGTTTTGGATGCGTTCATGACAAAACAAGTTCTTCATGGCCAAAATATTTATGATGGGTGTTGTGTTTTATACATTAAATATCCTCCTTTAGAGGTGTTGATGGCTGTGTTGGAGAATTACAGACGGACCAAGATGACACTTTGGAATGTCACACTCCTAAGTATTCTAATTCAACTTTTCAAGAAGAACCAAGTAGCTAGCCCAGAGTCCCAAGAATCATCAATGCAATAGTTCTCCCAACCACTCACGATGAAAGCAACATTCAAGATTTCAACAACATAGAGTATCTTGAAGATTATCTTGAGACAAGACTTGTGAGTATTACCTTAGACTTGGAACTCAACATTGGGGAGAAAAAAATAATTTTAGACCGTGCAAGCCAAAAGGAGAGGTCATTTATGTGTCACGATCGAGCTCAAGAACCATTTCAATCATTTGTTTTGCCAACTAGCCAACATCCAAAGTTGCATGAACCGCTTCAACAAAGATGTGTTTATTCTATTCCTCTCTACACCTTGAGGACAAGGTGTTTTTTGAAGGGGTGGAGAGTGATACGCATCAAAGGAAAGAAATAATTGGTGGTAATTGGTGGTTTAATTAGTGGAAGGTCTAAAAGGAATGAATCATATGTAATTAGAGAATAATTATTAAATATTTGTATAAGGAAATTATGTATATTAGAATATATCATTACCTTGTATAGTTAGAATAATTTTACTAACTTAATTATTATAGGTGTTAGTAATTTAGTATAAATAGGTCCTTTGTATATGAATATACCAGGAACCACCCAGAGAAATATACTATTATTCTAATCTTTAGTTATTCTTAGTTATTCTTCTTGGAGCTCTCACACGCTCGAAGTGTGAAATTGAAGTTTGTTGTGACTCGAATACGATTAGGAGCCAGAAACCTGCTCGAAAGGTTTCTTCCGTTGCGTATTAAATCTCAGTACATAACAGAGTTGTAACCTACATTCATACTCATATAACGTAACAACATGACAGAGATATATATATATATATATATATATATATATATATATATATATATATATATATATACACAGTGGCGGAGCCACAATGGGGGCAGTGGGGGCTGCTGCCCCCACTGCCCTACTCCATATAAACTGACTATATATTAAACATACCAACAATTAATCAAAGTTAGGCTTGGTTGAGATGGTTAGGCCATTATTGACCTTATAATTTGAGTGAAAGGTCAGAGTTGTTTAATAGTTATGTTAATTACTAAGGACGAATACATTTGCTAAAAAATCGTTAATGTTAGTTGGTATAGTTGTTTATTTGAAATAATTATTTAATGTTAGTTAGTATATTATTGTTTAACAATTTTATTCGTATTTGAACATTTTTTAATTCATTTTACTTTTGCTTTTTTGCCCCCACTCAACCTAAATCCGGGCTCCGCCACTGTATATATACTTCAATAATCTATCCATTATTTGATCTGTTATATATTTTTAAAAAAGAAGCACCAACAACATTCCTCAACTCTTTTAAAAAAATAATTTACTTCCTTCTAGGTAAGCTAGCATGCATTATCCTAAACATTCATGCATTCTCTAAAATTATATATATATATATATATATATATATATATATATACTAGTATTTGTCCCGTGCGATGCACGAAAAATATGTTATAAAAATATACTCTATATGAGGTTTATTCATATATAAAATTTTTGTTATTTAATAATTATTATGTGTGAATTCCTATGATAAAATTATGAACATAAATATATTTACAATTAAAATAATATTTAAGGTGGTGATTACTACAAATCTTAAACTATATTAAAAATTTAGTACATAGTATTTAATATTACAAAATTTTAAGAACTTAGTAAAGTACAATAGTAATTGAATTACAATTTTAGAGTCACCACGGATCAAAATTTTTAGACCTTTGAGATTTCTAACTCTAGATGTAGCAACATATAATTGACCTTTAAAGACCAAAATCACAATCTTAGTTCGAACATTGATTTTTTCTTCCAAATACTATTGAATTAAGTGTGTAATCAATAAAAGATGAGAACTAATAATTCGAGAATATAATCTTAATGTTACTAAGCCTACTTCACGTCAATTAAGTTGGAGAGTGTTGTTAGATAATATCCGATGAATCCACGAATAACGCATCTTTGTCTCCGTAGTCCTCAATATGCACATCAACAATCTTAAATATTAGGCCACCTAGCTATGTCATATATTAATTTCAAACTTATGAACTTTGGGGTTGCATGCAATAAAAAGTATATTTTAAATATACTAAGGGTACATTATATATGTATGTAAGGTACTTTCAATATAAAAATAATTAATTTTTAATATATTAAAAATGTATTTGATATTCATGATCCATACAATTATGTGGACCATCGTTCACACAATAATTTGCCAGTAAAAATTGAAATATAAATATATATATATATATATATATATATATATATATATATATATATATATATTATCATTATTATTGTTGCAATTATTATTATTATTATTGTTATTGTTATTATAATTAACAATATTATTATGGTCTTGTAAAAATTAAATGTCGATTATCACCATTTAATTTTCACAAGACCATATGGCTTTATTATATATAGGATTTAGTTAACATCTTAGAAGCTCAAAATTAATTGAATAACCAACATAACATTTATGAATATGGAACCATGATCCTAATTAAGAAAGCAAGAGAGAGAAATTAAAGGATGAAAAAACAAAGTGGAGTGTGTGATAGTGAAAGCTAGTGATGCATGTCAGCAATTAAATTAAAAGTTAATTCTACCGGAAGTCCCTTTATTTTTTGTGGTAATTTCAAATTTAGTCTCAGACTATCGTTTTTGTCATTTTACATTCTAGACTATCGTTTTTAGACACTTTTAGTTCTTTGCATAATTTTTTCTATTTTTAGTAAGGGTATTTTTGTCTCTTCATATTTTTCTTTTGTTATTTTTTCGATTTCAACCAGTTTAATTGGTTTAGGACTTTACTAGAAATTGGTTGAAAAATATGGTTACTAAAAATCAGAGGTTACCTAAAGTTCTAAATCAATTAAACTGGTTGAAACCGGAAAAATAACAAAAGAAAAATTTGAAAAGACAAAAATGCCCTTACTAAAAATAGAAAAAATCATAAGAACTAAAATTGTCCAAAAAACAATAGTCTGGGGTGTAAAATAACAAAAACGATAGTCAGAGACTAAATTTAAAATTGCCACAAAAAATAAGGGACCTCCGGTACAATTAACTCTTAAATTAACGTAAGATTGACTATATGAGAAACTAGTACAAGACCGGGGTGTTAAGAAAAGCATGTACTAATATAACTACTTTAAAGAATATATTTTATTTTATACCACATAATTCATGAGTGTAAATTTGATCCAAAAATTATATTTTGACTCAAATTTTTCTTAAGACCTATGTAGGAGTGTAGGACACATCACTATTGTAGAGTAAAAATAGAGAAACTAAGCAATAATCTAAAAGAGAGAAAACATAGTGCATATAGTGAGGTGTGTGCAAATTGTGCCATAATTTTTGAAAACATATATATGAACTATTCCGTATGTAGTGTGTTCAGTACAGTGATCGATACCCTCGGCATATGGTTTGTTTGGTTACTAATGAGTAACTACCTTTACACTGTGAACAGCAAAAAGTACGCAGAGAACTAATTACAGTATATTTGATATTTGAATTGGGATCAGTGGGAGCTTGAGCCTTTCTGATCTGATTGTTTCTTAATTGAATGTTTCTCAGACTCAAATGGGAACGCGCCTACCCCCCATCTTGTAAGGTTGAAAGAACTGCATAAGAAATTCATTTGTAAACACAGAAATGCATATCAATTTTAATATTATTCATGACCTCAACTGATAGTACAACTAATTTATTGCAAATATATATACAGAAGCAAATGAAACATACCGATGAGACTGATGGTTGCCAGAATATCCAACCAACAACAGGTAACTTTCTCAGATAAGCTAAAAGGCCAGGCCAAGAACTGTTGCATGAAGATCTATGAGTTGTAAGCCAAATGTGAAGTTAGGATTCACTTAAAACCACAATGTAAGCTAATTTACTGTACCTAAATACCACAACAAAACCATAGCATTCCAAGATCATGCCTATGATTGGCCACCCAATGCTAACCAAGAATAAACCAATAGCGAATGAGACAGAACCCTGTGGAATCATATATAGCATATGAGAGAAGGGGAGAAAATTAATGTGTAAATAATAAGGCATATCATGAAAGTGGAGCAAGGTTACCTTGAAGTTTTGGCGTTTAAGAAATAATTGCAAGGTGGACTTTACTCCAATGGTCAAGGCCACTCCAAGGAAAATAAGGATCTAAAAAACCAGAGTGCATTCTTAGATATGCGGCGAACATACTTAAGGTATACAAGTAAAAGCACAAAAAAACAGCAATTAGAATACAAGAAATGAAAAGATGGAAATAAAATTGATGTATATTTATCTCTACTTACATTCCCCTTGATGAGAAAATGTTTCTCAAAGAAGAGTAGTCCAACCACAATGAGAACTGCACCAAAACCAGTACATCCATGCCCAATCTCTGTCACATTTTAGAGTAAGTAAGAATTCCAACAGAAAACAAGGCATTACAGAAGCAAAGTAACATGCTTTAACCCTTTGTCCTTTGAGGCAATTAGGAAGGTTTTTAGGTACTCCATATTAATTATGTGCCTAAGATGCATCCAAACTGTGCTTGAAAGGAAGTTCTAATTATTTTCACATCAAACAAGAAAATGAAGGTCCCACCATTCAACAAACTTAGTCATGATGATTCAAGATGTTTTAGGTTTAATCCATTCATTGCAAAGATATTAGAAAAGAACATTCTCAAATAAGAAAAGCAAAGAAGTCTGATAGTTTCTGTTATTCATTTATCCATTCCAAGTTCAATTAAATGATATACTACCCTGCACATCTTTTACTGCTTAGATTCCATCTGATTAGTAGTATTCAAGCTGCACTCTCAATTGCCATTTGCAGTCTTTAGTTCAGGATGGACTAATGAAAATATTCATTATAAAATGTAGACCCATGGGTATATAAGAGAGAACACATGCAAAACTACTTGGCACATCAAAAGTTAATATCTCTATTTCATAGATCCACTCTGTGGCAATTTTAATTGCTTAGTAATCTGCTACATGAAAAACAAGAAAGACAATGAACTACACAATCCATGAGAAACCACAGGCACTCATTTGTAATCCATTATTACAGATTTTTGCAACTTTACCACATACCACACTTGCAAGTATCATTTGGTTTAAATGGAGTCAAGAATGACAAGGATAAATCCTTCAACCTGTAATAAGAAAATCTGCTAGTAGATGCAAATTGATAGCACCACTAATTATGCAAATATTCAGAAGCTCATGCAAGACTTCTGAAGAAAATTACCTTAGTTTAATATCCACACTACACCTTTTAATTTCGAGCAACTATTTTGGTAACAATAACGGTATCTATGCTTCGTTATCAATCAACACCTCAACAGCAACTTCGGTAATTACTACACAGATTACTCAGGAATTAGCACATATCAAAATTACACTACTACTGACAATCTCTTCAGTGATTGAACAAAGCAGCAATGACTCCCACTACAATCAAATGCTTCACTGTAACTAGATTTTCTCTGAAACATGGTAATTAGAGCTAAATAACAAAAGTATAGGCAGAGTGTAGGGGACCTACTCTTCACATCAAGTGACTCAAAGGAAACCATCTTTTCCACTAGAACTTGAAACTTCAAGGAATGAATCTCTGAAGCACCTAAAAAAAAATGTCCCAAGATTGGAGAAAGAAGATCCAGAGATAATTCCATGCTACATAATCAATGAATATGATTACTATTATAACTCAGAGAAAGTTAAGCTGCAGAAAAGTAGCGATTCTGGTGATCATGATGGCGATGACAGAAATTGTAATTACACAATAATTACATCAAACGAAATGAAAAACAAGGGGGAATAAAGATAAGAGGAAAACTTCAGTTGCTCCAGTTTCTACGATTTGTTTGGAGAATTGGCCAGATGATATCATGAAATGAAGTTCAACAAACTATTATCAGCAAAGTACACGAAGGGATTATAACTGTCTGAAAAATCAGGGTTCCAATACATGAATTTCGAACTAAGTAGATGATGCGAACGAATAAAATCGAGAAAAATGAAACACATCCATAACCAGAATCCATATCTGGTAGTACAATGGAAATGAAAATTCGAAAGGAAAAGCTTAGCGAACGTACACCAAATTGAAAGCGCCTCATGGAAAACCGCAATGCATATGCGTGAATCCATACAAACAAATGAAATGACAGTATTAACCTGTGTATATCTACATATACACAATACAAGTGTGTGTATAGAGAGAGAGAGAGAACGATTGTTACCTGTATGAGTAGTGAAACAGAAGAACAGACCAGAACGAGAGGGAATTTTGCACTTTGCTTGGAGTTTTATATCAAAAAAGAAATGGCGGGGGAAATGGGGTAGTTTGCATTTTGACTTTTTTTCTTATTATTATTATTACTAGTATTTTCACCCGTGCGATGCACAGAATGGATTTGTTGTAACATATTAAGAATATTTGAATAGAAATATAACTATTTAAATACACAATAGAGCCGTATTAGTCTCTAATATATTTTTGAGTTTTTTTCAGACTATAACTACATTGGGATTTAAATGTGTTGGAATTTGAAAGGTTGCTGGCTTGGAGCACATCACAACTAACTTGAGTTAAATGATGTATCAAATATCTCTTCAAGTTCTGATATTTTGTATCATCATTTTCCATCTATGAATCTTATATAGTTTAAAGTATAAATTTGAAATATTTTTTGGTATCAACCTTTGAATTTCTGATAATTGTCAATATAGTTCTTTAAGTTCACTTTGCTTAATAATAAATTATTGGTAACAACTTCCTTAGTATTGCCCTGTGTATATGCAGGAATATAATGATGGGCAGATTTGTAAGTAATACTCAACACAGCATGTTTTCCTAGATTTGAAATATATCATATAGTTAGAAATATATGAATTTCCTAGATTTAAGCATAGTTAGAAACATATGAATTTCCTTACAAAAATTAAGCTTCTTACTTGCAGATTTCATTATTGTGTGGACCATGTCAACACAAATTGTGTGGACTATATTTTGTCTACTGTAAAATAATATATATTCAATACAAAAATAATGTACATTCAGTATAAAAAAATATACATTGTATTCAGAAAATATACATTATTTTTGTTCTGAGTGTACATTATATTGTATAATGTACATTCATTACAAAAATAATTTACATTTAATATATTAAACATGTACTTTTTTGTTATAGTCCACATAACATTGTGTGAACCAATAATTTGACAAAGTCAACAATCTTTCAAACTAAACAATAGCAGTTTTAAATCTTTTGCCAGAAAAATACACCATAAAGAAAAAGAACATTCAAAACAAAATTACTATTACAAAAGCAAAATTGAAATACACATTTGTACATAAACACATCTAAGAATTGAATGGTCACACACTCAGGATAAGGACTCTCAATATCTCACTTGTTCTAATTCTTTGAAGTACCAAAATGAAAATTAGAAGTAGCCTTCACAATTCGCCCTCAAAAAACTCAAACAGAAGCTGCTGCTGCCTTCTTCATCGGAAATGCTTCAATACCATCCTTTTTGCCTGTATCCTATCATAGGAGAGGTAGCATACAAAGACTTATAACAGGAAACATTCATACAACAACATTAGAACTAAACACCGAATATGATTCATAACTGAGATTGTATTCTTACAGACCATGTAATAATTTTACCTGTCCATCTGTTGATTTCTTAAAAATGATGTCTTGGAATAATAGGGATGGCTGTGCAAATTTCCTGGAATAATAACAGTTTTATGGAAAATTGCAAATATGACTATTAATTGTCTTGACCATTCATATCTTCAGCTTTAGTATGGAATACAGAACCTGAAAACATGAATTTAAGAATCTGCTTAATTGTTTTTTTAATTAAATGTATTACTCCGTATAAATTAGTCATTCTTTTATTTATCTCATGTCTTAGTATAATATAGTTTTTATAGCAGATTTGTGAATTTCCTAATACTGTATCTAGTGCACAGCTTTATACTATGCATTTGTAAAGCTAACAAATCAATGAATTCGTTCCTTGCAGGATTTAAAACATACCCTAGGATGCAATTCAACAATGTATTCGTGAAGGTATGTACTGTATCAGTATGCAAAAGGGAAAACAATAAAAATGGACACCAGGTACTTGATCCTTTTCAAGTGCAGTATCACGTACTTGATCCATCTTTGTTTGTAAGGGACTTTGTTGTATTTACTAAATAGACTTCTAAACAATTTTGCTAACTTTTACCTAACTTTACTAACTAATAAACACTTAAACACTTGCAAACAATGATGTTACAGTCTGATGCACTATTTTCTTCCCACTAAACAGAAGTAAAATGAAATCTGAAATATTTCCTTGATTTGCTTCATACGTAATATGTACTATTGTTCCAATACATGTATTTAAAAATTGTTATATATTCACAACCAAATCAGCTATAATGTTTCCTCCTCAATTTGAACTACCTGCAAATGAATGATTGAATCATACAAAAAAGATGGTCACCACTGCAATCATCTACTTAGAAGTGTAGGTGATTGAAAACTCAGCTCTGAAAAAGAAAACTGATTGCATCAGGTTTTCAAACCCTTATGTACATGATAACAATCTATATCAAAAGTAAAAACAAACTAATATACAAAACAAAAAAATGATTCTTGTGCCACCAGACACAATTGTTTTATAAGACCACCCTTCCCAGATTCCTGTGCCACCAGGCAAAATTGTTTGAAAAAACCATCAACAAACCAAACCAAAAAATTCTTATTACCGTAAACTGACACTTCCTTAAACTTATTAAGGAACTTAGGAACATAATCTTTTGGGATGTGGGCATAGACTAATGTTCTCTACATATACACGTAATTTAAATCAGTACTGATGCTTCTGTATGAGATGGTGCTTACCGTATGGTAACTCTTTTTTCTGAATTACCCCAGAATCATAAAAGGCAATCTCCATCCACTTGATAGCTTCCTTTGTGTTCCGGTACACTGTATGAACGAACCACAACTTTAATCGCACTCCAGATATTGAATGGAGAGACCTCACTTCCAAGAATGTACAGAGAATACATTCTGTTTGAGAGATATGTATTCTGTGATTTTTTGGAAGCAAATTGTACTTTGCCCAGCAATATGTGGTTGAATGCCGGGTTCTACAATGAATTCACATATTTATACAAATTTGGAAGCACTGATTTGTTGAGACTTTAAGTTGTAATACAAAACGTTTTCTCCGAAATGTAAATTTAATAGTGATTTTCCATTTAAATAGATATTTGTATATTTTTTGAATTTGTATAAATCTGTATACAGGAGAAGGCACCATTATTTTTTGTATTAAATTCCAACTGTTGATATTCCCAAACGGCACATTTACAGAAGGCATTTACTGCATAATAAATCCCCATTTGTTCCGCCAAAATGCAGTGTTTTGACTTGGCGGGAACTTTCTCTATTTTTTTTTTTACCAAAAAGGTTCTGCTTTATTATTATAATAATAGAGGATAGAGGATTTTTGGAAGAATTATTATTATTATTATTATTATTATTATTATTATTATTATTATTATTATTTTTTGACAAACATTATTATTATTATTATTATTATTATTATTATTATTATTATTATTATTATTATTATTATTATTATTATTATTATTATTTGTGATTTGCGAATATCCATTTATCCACATTTAGGTGGACCCAAAAATATTTCCGGAGGCCAAACAATAAAACAAAAGAAATAATTTGAAATAAAAAAAAAAATTGAAACACTTAAAACAATCGATATATCGTGAACAAGGGCCCACAGTACACTGTGGACCCTTATCCAATACATAGAATTTATGTTATAATGCACATAATTCATGTTCATAATACACATACACATAAACACGATATAATGAACATGAATTCTGTGTATTATGAATATTAATTTTGTGTATTATATAGCGGAAGACACATAAACACTTAACATAACACACATGATTCATGTTCATTATATCGTGTTTATGTGTATGTGTATTATGAACATGAATTCTGTACATTATAAAGTCCAATTCTGTGTATTGAATTAGGATCCACAGTGCATTGTGGACCATGGTCCATGATAATTTGTCTACTTAAGAAGTGTCATAAATATTGTTGGTATAACCTGGAGGGTGTGGTTGAGTGGAAATGACTCATTCACTCTTAACCAAAAGGTCAAGGGTTTGATCATTGGCTTTGAGGGTAGAGGCCTAGAGCAACCATAAATCTTCAGGTCAGAAAGAAGGTTAATTCTCATTAAAGATAAAACACATCAGAACTATATGAAAAGAAGGTTGAATCTCATTATTAATAGTAGTCGGCAAACTTATGCACTATATTAATCATACAATATTAATTTAAAATTTTTATATGTAATTATCTTATTTATAAATCTAACAATATAAATTATAATTAGAAAAATTATATTATAACATTTTCCTAAATACATATTTATATATATTATTTGCACATACAAATATAATTATATAAGGAAATACATATACTTGGGATTATAGTCTAGATCTACTCATACAAAATTTAAAATTTACATTTTTTGATTTCTAAATATAATTCCCTTACTTATTATTCATATTGTTAGAATTATAATTATAATATATATAAAATGTAATTAGGAATACATGAATTTAATTGTGTAAATTTAGTTTATAAATTTATGTACATGATTAGATCGGGACTATATTAATAACACTATAACATTTTAATTTTAATTTTGTATGGTATGAAAATACCTGACAATATATGAGAAGTCCAATTATATTATTATATTATATAATTTTAACATTTTTAAAATTTTTATTTTTTATTAAAATTCACAAAAACAGCACGGGTAAAACACTAATCTATATATATATATATATATATATATATATATATATATATATATATATAAAAGTAAAATCCTCCTAACAAATTTTCCCCCCAAAACTTTTGTAGTAAAACTTATTTGGTAAGTAAATGTCAAATGGAAATTAAATAAAATCTATTAATTGGTAATATTATATATGGTATTATATTCTATAATATAATATAATTGATAATATTATTGTTCAAGTATAAAATAAAATTAAAATTAAAATAATAACAATAACAACAACAACAACAACAACAACAACAACAATAATAATAATAATAATAATAATAATAATAATAATAATAATAATAATAATAATAATAATAATAATAATAATCCAAACAAAACTATATACAAAATTAAAAAAAAAA